TGTTGATTATGTTGATTACATAGATAAGTCTTATTTCATTTTCTATTTTGGGAAAGTAATATAAAGTTTAAATTAGAGCTGAAATTATTTCAGTCTGATCTGTAACGGATAGTATAATGATTTTCTTGATTGTGTTGATAGGTAAGTGTCTATTAATCTTTTATTTATGATTGATCTCCATGAGATGTATAACATAAAATGCATTTGTCACAGAAAAGCATAGAAGACAAGCTAAAAAATTTGAAGCAGGAGAAAAAGAATATTAAGGATAGGATTGGACGTATAACTCCAGAGGTTCAGAAGGTGATTTATGATGGCAACTATGCTTTTAGTCTATGGTATTATGCCGCTTCTCTTATGGGGTTTAATTGCTTGCAGCTAAAGGATGTGATCGATAAGAGGAGCAAAGACATCAGGAAGCTGGAGAAGAGGATTAATGAAATTGTTGACCGACTCTTCAAAAATTTTAGTCAGTCTGTAGGGGTGGCAAACATCCGTGAGTATGAAGAAAATCAGCTTAAGGCTGCCCAGAATATGGCAGAAGAGAGGCTTAGCTTGAGTAATCAACTCGCAAAGTTGAAGTATCAGTATGTTTTCTTTCTCTCCATCTTTTTTTTCCCTGATGATCCATAAGTGCATTCTGGAAAATATTTTCGATGCTTTCTTAGCTGGGTATTCTAATTCTTAAGGGTTTTCTTACATTTTTTTATTATATAATGGGTGCTGGAGGAGTTAGCATGTCTATTTGATGTGAACTGTTATATAGCATACTGAAGTTCAGACTCCATATGAATTTATAACTTTAGTGTCGGTTAGCACCAATCACTTCTGTCATCCTCAGCTATGCTGCTATGCAAGAATGTGGTAATACTGCATAGCTTCAAGAACTAACTATACACTGATTATAATGTTAGGACAGATTTTCTTTCAAAAGAATAGGATAGTAGTTGCATTACACCGTTGCCATACAATCCTTTGCCTATGGTCAAATGTTCCAAATCACTTTATTATGGCAGCTTTGGATGAACCGTGAACGTATAAATAACCTGAAAATGCTCCTCCCTGTAATGCCTTGTAGAGTGAAGAGAATCTAAACTATGAGTGGAGATGAGCTATTTTTCTGTAATACTAATTGTGCTGAATTACCTATAAGTGGAAACCTAAAGAAAGGTAAAACCTTATGGTGTAAAAAAAATTTACAAGGTTGGCATTCAGTAGCTAATAGAATTTTTGCTAGGCGGTTCTTTTAATTGGATTATGACATCTGGTTTTGGTTGGCATGCTACTGAATTATGCAGATGTCTGGTTTGCCTGTGATTATTATGATAGCATCTTGATTTGTTTTTGAGACGTTGAAGAGAGAGAGATTAATAGTAAGAGTGGAAAATTTGCTTTATTGCTACCCTACAGGGTTTAAACCTTTTATTGTTTATGGTATAAACATGACTACAGCAGGAAAACATGTAGATCTCCCTATGTCACTTGTCATTAGGTCTTATCCTAGTAAGTAATTTCATTTAAAAATCATACTGCATTACTGCTGTATGGCATAGCAACAGCTGGTGGACACTTATTCTTCTTTCTGACTTTCAGGTTGGAGTATGAGCATAAGCGAGATGTAGAATCAAGAATTAAAAGGCTGGAATCTTCTCTCAGTTCCTTGGAAAATGATTTAAAACTGGTTCACAAGAAAGAGGCAGAAGTCAAGTTGGCAACAGAAAAGGCTTCTGAAGAAATCAATCGGTGGAAGGAAGAAGTGAAGGGTATGGTTTTGTATGTGAAGTTCAATTTTTTGTCAAGCAAATTAATCCTTTCAATTTTTCTTCTAAGGAAATAAACCTTTTTAGTTGCAAACTCTTACATTTATCCTTACATGTGTTAGTTAATTGACAGTTGGATCTGATAATTTACATCTGTAGATCATACTTTGTCATGTTTTCAAGTGATTCAATTCTCTAGCATGTTATACAGTAGCAATTGCAACTGTATATACATACAGAAAGTTTAGTTTCAGCAATATAGTGGCTGTAGACTAACATGCATGATGTACATGATAGATTATTCTACCCAACAATTTAGTTTGCGAAAGCTGAAATAACAAATAATTAAGAGTGGTGTATGACTTCTTAAGACTTCCCAACGTGATTCTTTATAACAGTATTTCTTATCACAAATTTCTAATATAATTTCTGAGATTATTAGAATTGCTGAGTGAAATTGGTAATTTCAACATGGTATATGGTTGCTGACTCATAGCAAATAACTCTTATGATAGTTTTTTGTCCTCTTGAAGTTTTGAAAATATTTGAGGTTTCATTGCTACCTTCCTGTTGGTTCAGTTATGCTGCTTGTCTCCTATTATCTGCACAACAACCCTGCTTTGGTTCAATGTGTATGATTTAATGTCATTTTATTTATCTCTCTGTTTATATTTTGGTAGAGTGGAAATCCAAGTCAGAAGAGTGTGAGAAGGAAATTCAGGAATGGAAGAAGCAGGCTTCTGCAGCTACAACAAGCATATCCAAACTTAATCGCCAAATAAATTCCAAGGTCCAAGGATCTTCTTTTTTTTTTTTCCTTACAGCCAGATTCTTGAATATTTGGATATGCCTAATGTTGAATTAAATTGCCCTATACATCTCTTTTCTTGATTTTACAGGAGACTCAGATTGATCAATTAGATGAACGGAAGCGAGAAATTATTGAGAAGTGTGACTTAGAGCATATTGAGCTTCCTCTCATTTCAGACCCAATGGAAACCGAATCTTCAATTGAGAAAGAGTTTGACTTTAGTCAGTTAAATAGATCTCTTCTGCTGGATAGAAGACCTTCTGATCGTGAGAAACTTGAGGCAGAATTCAAACAGAAGATTGATACCCTAGTGTCAGAAATTGAAAGAACTGCTCCGAATTTGAAGGCTCTTGATCAATACAAGACTCTTCAAGAGAAGGAAAGAGATGTAACTGAAGAGTTTGAAGCTGCCAGAAAAGAGGAGAAGCAAGTAGCTGATGCTTACAATTCAATTAAGCAAAGGAGGTAGTAAACCATTATCATTTTGCAACAATTCGGATCTTTTAGATAGTAACAAAAAGAAAATTAAAATTAATAAAGCTAAGTGGTGTTTGATATGATTAAACCTAGTGAAACTTAATGTAAGTAGTCTAATTATCTATGTGATGGCACTTCAGCAATTCTGATTTCTTGATTGCAACTGGTTCAATGGATTATCACTGACAGTTGGATCTAGTAATGGTTTTGGAAAGCTGTTCTGCTTGCAATATCATTTATATGCATCAGTAAGGGAAAAGGTTCTTTTTCATTTTTGGGGGGCGGGAGTGGTGTTGTTGGGTTGGAATGTTGTGGTTCTGGGTCTGGGAAACTACCAGTAGTTGTCTGCTCGTACATTTTAAAAATTTGTTGCTTGACTTTTCTTAATGATTATGCAGATATGAGTTGTTCATGGAAGCTTTCAACCATATTTCTAGTAATATTGATAAGATTTACAAACAGCTAACTAAGAGTGGTACACATCCATTGGGTGGGACAGCATATTTAAACTTAGAAAACGAGGATGATCCTTTTCTACATGGCATCAAGTACACAGCTATGCCACCAACAAAGCGCTTCCGGGATATGGAACAACTATCTGGTGGAGAAAAAACAGTTGCAGCACTTGCATTACTCTTCTCCATCCACAGGTACACCTCAGAGATTTAGATTTCATTCTTTCCCATTTTGTATGTAAGGTTGGATCTGTTGCAGGAGATGCAGTTTGTTCAGTTTATTACTTTGTACCATTTCTTTTGTTTGTGATGCACCTTTCATTCAGTTTGACTTGTTAGTTTCCTATTACTAACTAGGGTCCTAACTCCTAAATTCCCCTTCCCTTCCCAATTTTCTCTCTCTTTTAAATTTGATTTTGTTCCTGTTCTTCCCTTTTCAAGTCCCAGTTGCTTCTGTGGGGACCGAGGACATTTCTTTTTACAATTTATAAAGATGATATGCTGAATTGAGTTATGTACTGGGATCAGAGAGTGTTGCCCTTCTGATCTGGTTTTATATAGGCTAACGTCCTACACACATTTGGTTCAGCTACAAGCCATCACCCTTTTTCATATTGGATGAAGTGGATGCTGCATTGGATAATCTAAACGTTGCAAAGGTAGCTGGATTCATTCGTTCAAAATCATGTGATGGAGCCAGGACTAGTCAGGACAGTGAAGGGGGCGGTGGCTTCCAAAGTATTGTAATATCACTTAAAGATAGCTTTTATGACAAGGCTGAGGCTCTGGTTGGGGTTTATCGGGATTCAGAGAGGAGGTAAGTTCTTGACACCACACCATATCGTTAATCCAGTGACATTACATGTCTAGTTCACCAACCTAAAAATCCGTTCTCATTTTACAGCTGTTCGAGAACTTTGACGTTTGACTTGACCAAATACCGGGAATGATGAAAGGCATTAAATGCAGGTTGTAGCTTGTTAAATCTTTCTGTAAATAACTTACCACAATCTTGAAATTACTTGTATATACCATGATTTTCGGAGCAATTAGTGTTCGTTTCGTAGGATGTAGGAATGTGATAATGAATGGCAAATGCTAATTAATCTTAAATGTTTTTGTATCTAAACAAAATGTTTGGACAGTCCTAGCTCTGGAGTTGGATTCTCTCTCTCTCTCTCTCTCTCTCTCTCTCTCTCACACACACACACACACACACACACACAGAAACAAACAAGACACTTGCATGTGCTCAATGTATTTGAATTTTATGCCCCTTGAGTTTGGAAAAATTATTATGTCAAAACCTAAACACTAATCTCTTTGATTCTCGCTTCTCCATATTTCTCTTCCTCATTTTTGTTTTTCAATCTAATGCTATAAGACAAAAAAAGAGCCTATTATTCACCCGACTTCTTTCCCTTTCTGTATTGATCTATATTTGCTTCTCTTTTTATTATTATTATTGAAAAAGTGATTTTATTTCTCTAAAGTAGGAGAAACTTACTGTAAAGAAGAAAAAAGCACGCAATCAAGAAGCAAAAAGGCTTTTCCTTCTTTCCTATCAGGATATTCTTGCCTTTCCTATGAACCAGACAAATATATCAATGCAGGTCGAGCACCTTAACAATTATTAATGCATTAGGTATGTTTTAACGTTGTTTTCTGAACTCAATGTTGGGCATGTTTCAATTTCCATCTAGAAATGCTATTTTATTTTATTCATTTATTATTTTTTTTTTTTGTAAATGTCAATCATCATTTATTTATTGTTGTTTGGACTCTTATATTTGGGCATAGAAAAATTCATTTCTTTGTAACAAAACAATCACCTTTCTTTTTTTGAAATTAACAATCACAATTTTTAGGTGGCCAAAAAATAAACCACCTATTTTACGGATTATCAAGCGTTTGGAAACCTGGCAATGAAACAATTGGACAAAAATCCAACTCATGCATGCTTATTACCATGAAGCTCCTCATCCTAAATTTGGCGCCAGGTAACCAACTCTCGGAGTCGGAAAGCTCATCATAGGTGTTTAATCAATATTCAAAATCAGCTTGTTTTTTTATTTTTTTTTCACCTTCTAAGACAATTACTGTTACAATACCTCTCTTTATTTGGCTCCCTCTTTCTCTCTCTCTCTGGGTCTTGCCATTGAATCTATTAACCCACCCTCAGGGGTTCAGTTACCGGCTGGCCCCTGCCTCTAGGTTCTGGATTCTTGCAAGGTAAGAGCCCCAAACCAAACAGCGAAATGGGGAAGAAAAGAGAAAAGATCAACAAAGCCAAAGAGAGTGGTAAGAGTCAGGATCAAAACATGGCTGATGAAATTGAAAAAGAGATGAGCCCCGAAGTTCAAGAGGCTAATGAGATAGAATATGGAAAATGCTCCGCCAACCAAGAGCCCCATGAGGAAAACTCTGAAGAACCTCCATCATTTCAAGAAGATGAAAAGAAAGTTGCAATGGAAATGAAGCAAAGACAAAAGAAGGCTCTGATCGAATTTAGGTGCAGAGTTGAAGACGCGATTCTTGGGAATTATCTCTTGGGGAAAGCCAACAACTATGGTTGTCGAAAAGAAAGCGCAAAGGCGATAGAACAACTGAAAGAGATCACACTCTGGGGTGTACCTTTGATGCCAAGCAAACGCCATGAAGGAACCGACATTGTGTTGTTGAAATTCTTGAAAGAAAAAGATTACAAGGTTCATGAGGCCTTTGAGATGCTTCGGAAGACGTTAAAATGGCGAAAGGAATTCAAGGCTGATGAAATACTTGAAGAAAGTTTGGGTCCTGATTTTGAAAAGGTGGCTTACCTAAATAGCAGAGACAAGGAAGGTCACCCTCTTTATTACAATATCTATGGTGCTTTGAATAAATTACTTGGCTCAGAAGAGAATTGTGAAAAGTTTTTGAGATTGAGAGTTCAATACATGGAGAAGGGTATCAAGGAACTCAATTTTGAACCCGGTGGAACAGACTCTGTAGTTCAGATTATAGATTTGAAGAACTCACCGGGGCCTGCCACAAAGGAACTTCGTTCCGTTTTCCGAAAATCTTGGATGTTGCTTCAAGATCATTATCCTGAGCTCATCCATCGAAATGTAAGACCAAAACATAGCAACTCAGGATCGTATAATTTTGATTAACTGATTATTGCTTATTGATAAATATTTTCAATTGCAGATAATCATAAATGTTCCCTTGTGGTACTATGTATCCCACGTGCTTTCTTCACGCCTGAAGAAAACTCAAAGAACGAACAGCAAGATTGTTTTTGCCAGACCTGGGAAAGTCCCTGAGACTCTTCTCAAGTAAGAAATGTCTCTACTTATTTGTTCTAGTTTTTCAATATCCGGTTTCCCATTTTCATCACATGAATTGTTTATTTCTTTTATCCAACTTTGGTTGGAAACCAGATTTATATCTCCAGAAAACCTACCAGTTGAATATGGAGGTCTCAAAAGGGAGAATGACAATGAGTTTTTCTCAGATGGCAAGGTTTCAGAGTTTAAGGTCAGAGCAAATGCATCTGAGAGCCTCCAAATTCCAGCCCCTGAGGTATGTATATGTACAAAAACTAATCTTGTAACAATTTTAGTCTCTTTGGATTAATCTTGCTTAATTTTGGTTCGTTTTCTGCAATATATGCAATCAGGCGGGAGTGACAATAGTTTGGGATTTGACGGTGGTAGGATGGGATGTATCCTACAAGGAGGAGTTCGTCCCAGACGATGAAGGCTCGTACAAGGTGTTGCTCCAACAAGAAAAGGAAAAAAAAATGGGAGAGAGTGTTAGAAATTCATTTTATATTAGTGAGCCAGGGAAGATTGTTATAACCATTGATAATTTCATGCTCAAGCAGAAGAAGGTTCTCTATAGATACAAAACCAAACCCACTGTTCCCATGTACCTGATGATTAAGAAATAGGAGTAGTAAATTAATTTTTTGGTCATTTCTTTTCTTTACACCAACTGTCGTGGACAGACTTGGATTGAAAATTATGTTGTAGAAATGGCGATCATTCTTTCCCCACTTCTTGTATTTTGTTGCATAGTATTTGGTTTTATATACTACTAATATTCTTGGGTACTGCTAAATAGCATTATCTGATTTGTTGTAATGAGAAATATTGCATTTACATTTTCAAAGGACTTGATCACTGTGTCAGTAGCATATGCTTAATTTTCAAGACATTCTGCTTATAAATGAACAATTGAAACATATAACTGAATCGTTGTTTCTAAACTGCCTATTCTAAGTTTTTGGAGCCAATTGAAGAATTGGCACTGTTGCAAAATGTATTCCATTGTCTTTAATATGGGTGAACATGATCATTAATTAGTTCTTTTTTTTTTTTTTTAAGCAGTGATCATTAATTAGTTAAAAACATATGCAGTTGCTTGACCCATAGGCAAAATGGATAATGCCCAATAAAAAGGCGTGTGCGTTTTTGTTCTCTATATGTTTTTTTTCCTTTTTCTTTTCCCGGAAACCTCAAGTAAATTGTTCGCGTGGCCTAATGGATAAGGCGCTCGCCTCCGGAGCGGGAGATTGTGGGTTCGAGTCCCACCGTGAACGTTGTATTTAGAAGTTTTTAAAATTTTACAAGTTTCTTTTTAGTCCATCATCATTTCATAAGATTATTTCATAAGTAAATTACTTATGAAAAAGTTGTTTTAGCATGCTTAGTTGTGACTCTTGGTTGTACAGCCAACTACCAGCATTGGATAAAGCTTTAAACAGCTACGACCCAGTTGTTGCAACAAGAAGCCAGAAGCAGCAACAGTCATACGCTGTGGGTTCATCGTGTCCTCCCTCCTGCGACATATTCACGTGGGCTTTGCGTGAACTTTCGAAGCCCTATGGTTCTTGAGACTTGAGAAAAGAAAAAACAAAGTGGTCAGATAGATATTCACCTGGCTGGTTGGCTGGCTTGAGTTATGGTTGAGGATGATATAGCTTACAAGCTCAAAGAATCAAACTCATCTAGAAAATTAAAAACACTCCCCTCTCTTAGAGAGTCTCAAATGGAGACAGGTCGTTCTTTTGGATTCTTCTCTTTTGGTAGGGTATTCGTACTAATTCACTGAAGCTTTGAGACACCTGCCCTACCCGATTTTATGATGTGTAAGCCATTAGGATTATGTCACCATGCAAACTGAAGAATGGGAAAAGAATCCTGACTTTCATGTCACTCTTTCGCTTCTCTGCTATAAAATACCAGCTTCCTCCACTCGCCTCTATAAATTCATCAACCAAATAAGCAGCCTTAATTTAGCCAATAAGCCTTCTCTGCTCTCTCATTCTCTTAGTCTTCTTTTGCTCTTCCATGGCTGCCTAGCCCATCGTCACAGTCTTAGCAGTTTCCAAAATGAGTATCAAATCAATAAGCTTGACACCATTGAACCCATTACACCAATTAAGTCCAAAGCCGGTGTGACTGAGTGCTGGAACCCAATAGTTAAACAGCTCAAGTGCACTGGAGTGGCAGTTATGAGTCACATTGTTGAACCTGATGGCCTTGTTTTGCCATCGTTCACCAATGCTAAAACATTTAGTATTAAGTATAAAACATTATCATTATCTTCATTTCAATCAAATTCTTCCACATTAAAATTAACCACACAATAAGTGATCATTACATGTGTAAAATGATATATAGGATTAACATATCTTGGTATAATTAAAGAAACTTACATTATTAATATGTAACATGTTCATTTAACCATACAGTAAGGACATCGAATTATTGAATTCCATCAATCAATGAACATAGATAACATTCATGTAGTACGGCTATAAAGCAAATAAGAAGGGGTTTGAAACATTGAAAGAAATAAATTCTCAGTGCAAGGACAAGGAAAACTCACGTCAAAACAAAAGGAGTTTTGGGCCATTCCGCCTTCACGTGCAACTGTACAACGTGGAGGTTCCTTCCTTTTTTATTTTTTTCCTGGCTTTCACAAAGACAAGGTTACCCTCCTTGGCTTCTACTCATCAACTCCATTAAACAAGAAAAGAAAATTAAAAAAAAAAACAATTTTAGTAAGTATTGTGACAATTCATATTGTGAAATATTTACACTAACAAAAATCAATTATATCCATAAGAATCACCTTTTACTGATTTTCTATTTGACCTAACACCATAGAATCAATTATTAGCTTTATATACAAATTGATATTGATAATATAAAAAATTATGATATATACTTTGTTTTCTTTTTTTTATCTTTGATATCAAATAATAATGTATATTTCTTACACAACATATGATTTCTGTAAATGAAACATAATTCTCATTGAAAAATAAGTGAGAATTCATTTGTGTTAATATGTATTCTAGCAGATATTAGAGCCATAGCCACCGTAAATTTCACTTCTTCCTCTTTTTCACCTGATAAAAAAAGGTTCAATTTGGGACGGTTATTTCTTTTTTGGTCTGTAGTTTCAAACCAACTAGCTGGGTTGGTTTACATTTTTTGAGATTTAAGTTACAAAATAGTTTTTTTGAAGTTAAAGAAGGGCAAACATGTCCAAAACATGTCCAAAAGATTTTTTAAAAAACAATCCATCTCGAGAAATGTAGCCGAGTTAAGAACAGTTTCTACCTACTGAAAGCAAGCAAACTGTGTAGGTAGCAGGTTAGCACCACGTTCCGAACGGCGAACCAAAGACAAAAATCTCGGCGACTCAGATCCCAAACAGCAGTTTCTCCCTCAAGATGGAAGTCTAGTCCCTCAAACAAGCTAAGATGAGGTCTGCTTCTCTTCTACTGAGTCCACTTATTCTCACTCTATTCTTCACTTGTTCTGCAGCCATGTCATCAGTGACGACGACCACAATAACTCTAAAACGACAGCCTGGTTTTCTCTACTCTAGAAGCAGAGAAAGATGCACTCCCCAGTAAGCCCTCTCTCTCTCTCTCTCTCTCTCTCTCTCTCTCTCTCAAAACTCATCAAAAAACATGAAATGCTTACTTATTTCTGTTTTTCAAAAATACCCAGAAATCAATTCCTTTAAAAGATTTAAAACAGTTCTAAAAATATGTTTTTCTTCATGAGACTCGGTGAGTTGACTCGGGGGTGTGTAATGGTGAGTCTTGCATCCGCAGGTTCTGGAGCAGCAAGAGGGAGGCATGGCCAAGGATGGTCCCACAGACATCGACGGTATTGAACGTGTTCGGGTCGGGAGCGTTTGAACGGTACAGATCTGATATGACATTGTTGGAATCAACAGCTATGAATGAAGATGCGAACGTGTTCAATAAGTTGCTGAAGCAGGCGAGTGCTGCCTTGCTCAACTCGTATGCTAGGAAAGGTTTTCCTTACTCAGCTTGGGAAGTGAAGACTCTGATGATTCAGGGGTTAGTCTCGGAAGATGCCGCAGCTCGCCTAACCAAACGGTTTTCCATTGCCAATGATGCTTGTATTTAGTAGTATTTGGCACTACTAGTTGATGAGGCCATAGTGGAAACTAGTTTCATGCTTTTTTTTTTCTTAGAGAAATATGTTGAGGATTAGTTTTCTTCTATAATAACATTTGTTGTACAATGTTTTGTTTTGTGGACAAATTCTGCATTGAATATTTTCAGGAAGGTGATCAAGATTTGTAGTGTACGTGATTAATTATGAAGAATAGACATGTTGTTTGCCTTTTCACTAGGTGTGCTTTAAAAAAATTAAAATGGCACAGCACCCAACTTCCATGGACTATGCTTTAAAAAAATCAAGGAGGACCGGAGCCGGAGGAGTCCCTATAGGTTTTTTTTCCCTCCCCGCTCTGGTTCTCTTTGAAAATGAGAGAAAGGATGAAGAAACAGCGATGACAAAAATTTGGAAGGCAAAAGGTGAAGATTGGCCAGCTGAGCTCGTTGCTGGCTTTGTTTCTTTCCTTTTGTAAGGGCTTTGATAAAATTCCTTTGTTTTTTTCTTGTTTATAATAAAAAATTATATCATTCACTATTTGTGGGTTTTGTTAAAATACATTGGTTAATCCTAAGGAAGCTCCGTTTAAAAATTGTGCGTTCAAAAATTAAGGGCCAGTTTGTATCTCATCGTAATTTTAGTGCGATGAGAATTTTGCCTTAGAAAGCGAACAATATCGGTCACCATGGTTGATTGTTTTGGTTTCGGTGCAGTGGCACCAATTCTACTATAGTTATTCACCGAAGCTGAGACCCTGGCCAGCCATTGAGATTGATTTTTTTTTTCTCTTTTACCTTCGGATAAATAGAAGCAATTATTTTGATTTGACTTATGAGATTTTCATTAGTAAATACTTTTGTGTTAAGAAGAATTACCATTATTTATTTTTTATTTAAAATTGTAAAATAATTTATTTTTATTTGATATAAATTATTATTATAAAAAAATAGCTTAATATTTATTTATTTATTTTATAAATATTAAATAATTTAAAATTTTTATTATATATAAATTTTAATATAATATTAAATAATCTAAAAATTTATTTGGATGTATGATGAGATTAGTTTTGATGAAATTAAAAATAATGTTAAAATTAATTATTATAGCAGTAAGATTAAAATTAATGATAAGATATATGTTTAAATGCAAAAATAATGATGATAATGAGATGAATTGTAATAAAAAGATAAAATAATTATTAAAGACATTAGATTAAAAGATATATATAATTAAAATTTTAAATTATTTAATATTTATAAAATTTATTTATTATATAAAAATTACTAATAAATAATAAAATTTATTAATAAGTATTAAATTTTATATTAATAAATTTTATTAAAAGTAAATTACATAAAACCACCCTATAGTTTGAGACAAATTTAAAGTGATATATAAAATTTAAAATGTGATATTTAACTATTCTATGATTTGTTTTATTATTTCGTTGCTCAAAGCGTAACTTTTTCTGTTACTTCTTCAATGATTCACTCTTTTTTCTTTGATTTTTTCTCTTTGACGTTCAAACTCTCTTACCTCTCTTTACTTTTCTTGTTAAAACCCAAAATTTTTTTTCTCTCTCTATTCCTCATTTCTTGCTTCATGGAAAAAGAAGAAAACCCAAAGGAAAAAAATAAGTTTGAGTCTTTGAGCTTAAAGTTACTATCTTTTTTGTTATCCTGAATGACCAAAATGGTGGAAGCACAAGCATGGACAAGGAAGATGAACAACTCAATATTGGAGTCAATGGCTACTATTAGGTTTTGGATATTCTAGTAACCCCAACTGGTGATGTTAGAAATTGAATCCCCATATGAGAGTTGTTACTGGAAAGGGTTTATCATTGACAGTCTTTGTTAGCTTATTGCTTTCAGTTTCAATTTTTGTTACTGATGCTACTGTTCATGCAAATTGACTGGCCTTGACCTTCCAAACAAAATCAAGGGTCATCATGTTACTTTCTCCACAGCTCACTCCAAATATTACTGGCCCTAGAGGATTCATTTCCATCGCCTGAGTTTTCTCTTGTAACAAAGTTAGAATTGCCACTATCTTCATGTTCCATGTTCTTCATCAACCTTGGTTTCAATCAACTCCGTTAATAAACATGTTAGTGAAAATTTCCATATCATTCATTCCTAAGCTTCCTGTGATAGCATTAAAAAGTTGGGTCATTTCATTAGGGCTTTTTTGCATGAACGGGTTAGAGAATCCTCCATTGTTGATTCTAACCATGATTGAATGATTAATTTGTGATAGAAAGTGATCATAAGATGTGTTATGTTACTGCATTCCTCCAAAAGATATTGGTTTAATGGACTGGTAAGGACCTACCATTCTATTAGCAAAGCTTTTTTGCATAATGAGAGAGATTATACCATTACTTGTAGTTGCACCCATTTGGGCTACTTTTTACAGCAAGGTTGTTGTAAACATGTGGGGCGACTTGGTAATTTGGCAACTAGTTTTGTTGTTTTGTAAATAATTAAAGCCAAATGGTTTATTTTAAACTAAGTTGTAAGCTAGAGGAAATTGAGGAAATGCTTTTTTGACCACCAAACAGTGTCAGAGTTGCTTGAAAACATGCCTCCACCTATGTTCTTTTTCATGTCAGATTTAAAACCAAGAACCCAAAATCTATTGGAGCATCGTTGGATTCTGGGAATTTTGAAAAACATGGTGGCGGGTGTTCTTACTTCTTAAGTTTTCTAGGTTTTAGTTGAAAAATTAGAGAAAAGTGTTGGAGTTTGAATGTTAGAGAGAGAAAGTTAGAGAAAAAAAGTGAATTGTTAGAGAAAAAAGAAAAAAAACAAAAGAAAAAAAATTTGAAAATAATAAAAAAGTTACAATTTTGAGCAAATAAGTAATAAAACAAACCATAGTATAGTTAAATGTCATATTTTAAACCTTATGAACTACTTTAAATTCGTCTCAAATCACAAAGTGATTTTATGTAATTTAACATTTTATTTATGATATTAAATTAACAAAAAAATATTTTAAAATTTTTATATAAAAAATAAAATAAAAAATAAAACATAAGGATATTTTTGATATAACAATTTAATTTAAAGGATAAAAATGTAAAAAGAAAAAAAAAAACATTAGTGACCTATCATTAATTGGATCAAAATTGACCAGTTGATGATAGGCCTTTTATCAATCATATCGTTAGATCATTTGGAAAAAAAGCTCAAGTGGACACATATTTTCAAGGCAATTGCATCTCATTGATGCTTTAGTTGCTTCTAAAATGGACTTAAAATGCCTGATGTTTTCTTTCAATGAAATAAATAAAATAGAGATAGGACAAGTTAAAAGTAAATAGAGATAGGAGAAATTAGACATATTTCATTCCTTTGATTTTATTTAGAAATAGAATGGACTAACATTTTTTTTTTTGTTCAAAGTATAAGCATTATCTCTTTTAGAATGTTTTTAATATTCCCATATAATATATATATATATATATATACATATATATTACATAATATAAAAGCTATCCCCAATTGATTCTACCGGAGACAGCTTAGCAATATATTAAAAAGGGATTAGTGGTTAGTTTTGGTAAAAATACTATTTAATTATGTTGAAATTTTTTAAAGTTTTTAGAAGCTTCTTGAAGAAACTTTTAGAGATAAAAAAAAAGACTGATGCTTTTGAAGACTGATTTGGTAAAAAAAGCAAAAATAAAAAATAAAAAAAGAGGGGAAGAGGGAATTAGCCGCCGACGTTTATAGATGGCACTCTTCCAAATCAACCCATCAGTTAGCCAGACTCTGAAAAGATTAACCCCTTTGTTCGAGCAAGTTCATCGGCATCAATATAGTGAGTGATTGATTGGAATGTGAAATACTTCAGCTTGGATTCATAAAAAAAATATGCTTTTGTCTTTGCATGTCATAAAAACTCAAAATCTGATAGTGGTTTCTTTTACTGGTTTCTGGTAAGTTTTTTTGTTTTTTAAATTTTTAGGTTTATTTATACATAATATAAAAGCTATCCCTAATCTTACTTTATAAACATACCTAAGCAATATCTTTAAAAAAATTGCATGGATAATTTTTGAAGAAAGCAGTTCCATAAGCGTATAAATCTTCTAGGTTTCATCTCTTAAAAAAGATGTAAAAGACAAGTTGCTCTTTTTATATTTATTTATGATTTTTTTCTTTTCTTTTTTTTTAATACCAAATCTACTTGCAATCGTAAAAGAGAAAGAGCCAGCCTTTCATTTGCAAGTACCAAAACTTTACATCTTTTGTAGGTAACCTTTAATTGTATATTTTTTTCAATTTTTCCATTTAATCACTTTGGTTCTTGTGCTTTTTGTTGTTCAATGTTTAAAAATGGTCATTTTTTTTTAATTCATGCATGATATTTTGATCTGTTTAATATTGTTTTTGTTTTCTTTATTTTGCTAAAAATCCTTGACTTAAGTGCTTTCTAAATCCAATAAAACATTGATTTTTTTTAATGGATTTTAATTTTTAGTCCAAATGAGAATTCATTTGATCTGTTTTTTAAGAGAAGCATTTTGGGAATCTTGGTTTCTGCACAGGCCAATCATGCAACTTTGGAAGAATTATTGTAAAAACTATATTTTGTCATATTTTTGTTTGAAATTTATAATTTGAAAACTAACCAAAAGTTAATATGAAATTAAAATAATAAAACAATATAACCAAAAACTAATCTTCTTGACTTTTTTGTTTACTTTTATGCTATTATATTTGCAACTTGCTTGCTTTGATTTTTGCTTCTTAAAAATATGTACTTTGATTGTTACTTTATTTTGGTTCAAGCATTTGCACAAAAGCGCCAATCTTTTTACTACGATAAGTGCTTACTTATTTTTGCTTTTATTTGGTTTTGATTATGTACATGCTTAATAATTGGTTTTTTAATATTTTGATATTGAAATAAAAAATTAAAGGTATACTATGTTAAAAGTACTAAGATTGTGAGGCTTATTGATTTATACATTATTCCATAACTAAACTAATCGATGTATGTAATTTATTTTTAATACACAATATATTCAATTGACATGTGGTAATTGAAAGCAAATTGTAGTCTGAGTTATAAATTGTATTAATTCAGTTAGAATTTTTAGCATCCTAACCATTGCATCTGAGTTATCTACTAAGATTATTATTGTAGCAACTATTGTAGCAAAACCTTGCTATAGGGGAATTTGATGGTAATTTCTTTTAA